CCCCCCCCCCCCCCCCTTACATTTGCCTGTCTCTGCTGGTGTCTAGCTCTCCAACCTCCCCATCCCCCCACATAAACCTTCTGCAGTTCTACTGCCCGCAGTCATTTATCCAAAGTATTTCTAGTCCCATGTATTCCTAGTACACACCAACAACTGGAGGGCAGGTATTCTGAAATCAGGGTCAGAGCTGGGAGGATGTGTAGGCCCCTCAAAAGTTAGCTGCCACATGGTGGTGACAGGTTTACTGCTCTTTACAAGAGGGTCCCTCTTCAGGTCACTTTCCACTTAGAGAGCACAGAACGTCAGGGCCACTTCATCCTGCCGGTGTGCCTCGCTTGTTCAACCAGGTTCAGCAAAGCCTCCCTGACCGCTGCCTCAGCCCCAAGATCAAGTGCTACACAGGCAGCTGGGCTGTCGTGGACTGCCATTTTGCTCTTAGACACCTTCAAACTAATAACTTGAAAAGTTTACTTATTTCCATGTCTTTTGCCATTATCCAAGGACTAAGTAGACGTATTTTCTAAGACATAATTACAAAGGAATTCTTTTTTTCCACACTGTAATTTGAAGAGGTTTGCCTCAAAAGCACATATAGTTTAAACTCACGCTCTTTTACAGGACCAAATTTTAAAGAGAAACTTTACTGGACCTAATTTTAAAGAGAAAGAGAAAGATGGATTCCTCACAAAGCAGTAGTTGAATTTATATTCGGATTAGCTTTTAGTTTTGTGAAACTTCCATTCGCGTCAGATAAATGCAAATAAGTGTCTTATAAATCTAGCCACTCACGTTTTTCTTCAGAATACTGTTTATCATTCCATTTACTGTTAAAACTTTTCTTCACTTAATCTTGCCTCTATGCATCCTCCCCCCCCCACTACCTCCCCCACCCATACATAAAAAAACATGACCAATTTATTTTGATAAGAGTTTTTCCTGCACAGTGGTGCTTTTTAGAGCATTAGCAAATTAGTAAAGTAGCTTTAGTCATTTTGTGTACCATAAACCTTAATCCACGTTTAAATAAAACACAAATTGGGTTCTTGTAGTCCCCTCCTCCTGCTTAAATCTTTTCAGTGTTTCTGCATAATCCACCCATTGTCTTTCCTATTGTTTATTTCCATTAACCTATGGGTGACACATTTTATGAATGGAATGTTACTGATCCTCAGATTACATTTAGCATTTCAGGGCTTTGAGGTCCCACTGGGTATGCTCTGAATTAGCATTAGCTGCCCGTGATGTGTAAATAATTCAACACATTTACAGAGTACAAGTAATCCTGAATCAATAAAATACAGAAAATAACTACACAGAAGCTTAATTAATCTTCACAAAACAAGTTTTAAAAGAAGGGAATCATTTTATTCTGCCTTTCAGGATAAATATTTTGGGTTTTTACCACTTTGATAGCTCTGCCATAGCTAAGCAAAGTGAAAAACACTCAATTAACAAATAAAATTCAACCAAGTTTAATACCTAATCTGAATAAATTAAAGTCACGCTGATTTTCACTTTAGTCAATTAATTACACAGATAAATGAGCCTGCATAGACCTGTCCAATGATTAAACTGGTTTTCTTTGAATTTTAAATTAAAATTTTAAATACAGTATCTGTTTTTATCAAAGTTATACATGCACATAGCCTGAAAGGGAACTTTTCCTAAGGGGATTTTTATGAAAAACGTAAATCCTTTATGTCAGTTCCACCCCCATTTCCCAAGTAATTTCTCGAGAAAAAAGTGTTTTTAACTTTTAGCTGATTCTTTTGGTATTTAAATGTCATATCCCTAACCTACATGATAATATTTCAAATTCTTGATTTTCCAGTTTTAGATATTATCCTACTAACTTCCCACTATGGAAGACAAGTTCTTAGCTTTTTAAAAAAAATAGATTTAGAGGTGTAAGTGGCATACAATGAACTACACATATTTAAAGTATACAATTTGATAAGTTTTGACATATGTATACACCTGTGAAACCATCACTACAATCAAGGCAATATACATATTCATGCCCCTCAAATGATTCCTCCCGACTCGTGGGGCCCAGGCAACTACTGATTTACTGTCATTTAGATTAGTTTGTGTTTTCTATAATTTCATGTAAGAGGAATCATACAGTATTGAACTTTTTTGGGTCTGATTTCTCTCAGCATAGCTGTTCCGATATTCTTTCATGCTATTGCAATGTATCAACAATTCATTCCTTTTTATTTCTCAGAAGTATTCTAATACATTTTTTTATCCATTCCTTGTTGACGGTCATCGGACTTGCCTTCATATTTGGGCTATTATGAGTAATGCTGGTATAAATATTCATATTAAAGTCTTTGTGTGGACGTATGCTTCCATTTCTCTTGGGGAAATACCTAAGAGTGGAAGAGTTGGGTCATACGTTAGGTGTTTAAATTTTTAAAAACTGCAAAGTATTTTACAAAATGAGTTGTACCATTTTATATTCCTATCAATCACTGTGGCTTTAGTTTATGTTTCCTTAAAGAGTAACGATGTTGAGCATCTTCTGATATGCCTTTTCACCATCATATATCTTTAGTGAAATATCTGTCAAAACAACTTTTTATTGGGCTGTTTTATTTCTTACTGTTTTAAGAGTTATTCATAGGGAGTTCCCTGGTGGCCTGTTGGTTAGGATTCTGGGCTTTAACTGCTGCGGCCCAGGTTCAATCCCTGGTCGGGGACCTGAGATCCTGCAAGTTATGCAGTGTGGCCAAAAAATAAATAAATAAATTTATATATTCTAGATAGAAGTCTTTTGTGGGTTATGTATTGTGAAAATATTTTCTCCCGTTCTGAGATTCCCTTATAATGTCATTGGAAGATCAAAAGTTCTTAATGTTGACGAAGTTGGAAGTAATATTTTTCCATTTATGAATCACGATTTTGGTGTTTTATTTAAGCATCTGTGCTTAGTCCAAGGACACAGAGATTTTCTGTTTTCTATGTCTATCCATCTTGAGTTAAATTTTGGATCAGGTGTGAGGTATGGATCCAGGTTTTTATTTTACATTTGGATATCCAATAGTTCCAGCACCACTTGTTGAATAAAGTATACTTTGCAATTTACCTGTACACTTGTTGAAAATCAATTGACCATATGTGAGTCTATTACTGGACTCTCTATACTACACTACCTTGATTATTGACTTTTGAGTAGATAGTCTTGTCTTGTTTTTGACTGTAGGTGGAAAACATTCAGTCTTTCCTACTTTTTTACTATTAAGTATGATGTTAGCTGTAGGTTTTCCATGATGCCCTTAACAGGTTAAACACATGACATGTGGTAATAATAATTATTTTGATACTATTGTTTACTAATTCTATCTTCCCTGTCATTTTCACTTTTGCTTGTTTTCTTCCTCTTCATTGGTCGTATTTTACTACTTCTTTGTATGCCTAGGAATTTTTGACTGGATGCTAGACATTGTTATTTTACCTTCTTGGAGGCTGAACACTTTGGTATTTCTTTAAATATTCTTGAATTTTGTTCTGGAATGCAGTTAAATTACTTGAAAATAGTTTGATTCATATGAATCTTGGTTTTAAGCCTCATTAGGAGAGACCATGACAGTGTTTATTCTAGGGCTAATTTTTTTCCATTACTGAGGCAAAACCTTCTGTATTCTACCTGATGCTCATGAATTAGGTTTCCACTCTAGATATTGAAAACTGGAGTTACTCTTAGCCCTGTGTAAAGAAACCCCTGTAATCCTTTCACATAGTTCTTTGCCCAACTTTGAATAGTTTCCTCACATCCATGCACAGATCAATACTTAGTTGAAGACGCCAGCAGGACCCTCAGCAAATATTTCGTGTAGGTCTCTTTGCTTTCTCCTTTAGAACTTTGAGTTGAAAACTCTGGCAGCCTTACCCTCCATGGACTCTCAGCTCGGTCTCCTCAAGTCAGGGTGTCCACGGGGATCCACCCAGATTCCTCCTCCCTGGACCATGATCTAGAAACACTGTGCTGTCAGTAAGCTGGGGCAATTAAAGGGCTTATCCATTGTCTTCCATCTCTCAGGAATTACTGTTATTGTCTTATGTTTAATATCTTGAAAAGCATTTTTTTCCCACATATTTTGTCTTTAAAAAATTGTTTCAGGTGGGAGGGTAAATATCATCCCATTACTCCATCTTGGACATAAGTTGCTTTTTTTTTAAAGACCACTTTCCACCACCTTAGACATAATTTCTGTTCCTCCTACGCTTAATGCAGTTACATCACTTTTGTGTGTTAGACCGAAATTCAGTATCTATGTTAATTACATAAATGTCCCAGATAACTGAAATGTATCCAATATGATTACTTTCTAGTGTCACTATTTTGTTTATAATACTTTGCTATATTTGTCTTTGTTTTTATTTCTTCTTTTTATTATGTACTTAATCTAATACAATTCCAAGCTCTAACACAATACAATTCCAAACTCTATTCCAACTGGGTGAAACTTCTCTCAATATGTTAAAATATCACAGTGTTTTGTCAATTTGATCTACTTGAAGAATTTTCTGACCTGCTCTGGTCAGAACTATTTCCTCTCTAGGCTCAGTTGTCACTTTGGGGTCTCTATTAGCCAGCACTACGAAGATTCCCTCCTCTCTCATGTTGATTTCCTGTTGCAGGGATCTTAACTCTCCCTCTTTATTTTCTCCTTTGTCTTGGTAAATTGCATTCCCCAGAAAGGGAATATGGGAAGCACATCTTTTGATGTCCAGTATGCCTGAAAATATCATTATTCTACCATTACCCTTAATGGAGACGTTTACTAGTGTAGAATTCTAGGTTGGAAATAATCTTTCCTCAAAATTGTGAAGCCACTGATGCATTGTTTTCTGGATATCAGTACTGCTCCTCACATCAAAATGAAAGCTGCAGAAGAAAAGGATCTTTTTAAAAATCTTGTTCACTGCCCAACACATAGTAGGCACTCAGTAAATTGCTGTAGAATAAATCAGTGTTGAGAAGCCATTCTGATTCTTGATTCTTTGTATCTCAGCATCCTCCTTTTTATCTCCAAGATTGTGAAAATTCATAAAAATGCACTCTAATGAGTATCTATTTTAATCCCTTGTGCTTGGTACTCAATGGGCTCTCTTAATTTGAACACTTATGTCTTTTAATTATGGAAAATTGTTTTGAATAACTTTATTGATAATTTCCTATCTTCAACCTTAACTGTTTCTGGAATTCCTATTATTTATGCTGATGAAACTCCTAAGCAGATCCTTCATTTTTCCTATCTTTGTACAGTTGCCCCTTAGTATCTGTGGGGAATTGGTTCCAGGACCCCCATGGATCCTAAAATCCACCAATACTCAAGTCCCTTATATAAAATGGGGTAGTACAGTTGGCCCTGTATATCTGCAGATTCAACCAATCCAAATCGATCTGGCCAGGGACGTGAAACCCAAGGATAAGAAAGGCCAACTGAACTCCTATTTTCCTATCCCTCCCACCCTCCACCCTGTACTTTCTGGAAGATTTCATTAACTTAATCTCCCAATAGTGTGTACGTATTTGTGTCATTTGCATCAATTTCTAAGAGTTCTAATTTTTTTCCCCTAAGATTTTTTCTTTTACTTTTTTTAAGCAACATCTTGTTTTTGTTTTATGGATGCTCTATTTTCTCAAATCTCCAAGCATATTAATAATAGATTCCCGCCACCCCCTCCACCATTTCCTTCTTCCCACATAATCTTTCTTTTCTCCCCAAGTTGCTGTTTTGTATTACTTGTTTGGGCTCTGTCTCCCACAGTAAATACTTTCCTCAAATATCTGATGCCTTACCTTGGCTGTCAGATCATTTTCAAAATTGAGTTATTAAAAAATTGAACGGAAGCTATATGCACCTAGGTGGGTACGTGCAGACTGTGGTCTTTGCTGAAGGGCAATAGAGCTGGGCTGTTTCGGTGGGAGTCTTTCTTTTCCACAACTTTAGGTCTTTTCTCTTGGGCTACTCAGAGTCCCGGGGGAAGGTACTTACAATATGTATGGAAAGTGTAAGCCTGCCTGCCTGCCTGCCTGCCAGCATTTTGGGTGTCAAGTGTGTGAGTTGGAAGGAGAAGGCTGTGATTCTCAGATTTCAGAATACCCATTTATCTAATCCCCATGTTTCTATGTAATCCCAAACTCCAACTGTGCCTGATGTTTCCTCCCCTCCTCTACCTCAGCCCAGGTACCCTCTAATTTTACCCTCTCCAGGGAACAAACCAAGCAGCCCTCTTCCAGGGAAGGGGAGGGGCAGTGGCCTGGCTGATGAGGCGGAAAGGAGATCTGGGGATCTAAGTGTGTCTTAAGCAGATTTACAACAAATCATCCTTTACTCTTAATTTCCAGGAGGGCTTACAACTGGCAATTCCAAACGTTTTGGTGATTGTATGACATAAATCAGATTGCTTCTCTGTATTCCCCATTGCCCGTTTATGATCCAGTTTTTCCTGGGTGGCTAAATTAGATACCATCCATCCATCTGACTTCCACATTTTTAACTTATTTTTTCCATTTTTTCCCCTCTTACTCTTGCTGTCCTTGTGGGTTTATGTCTTCTGAAAAATATTGTTCTGTTGTTTTAGTTAGGTTCTGTGAGGAAACTGAGCCAGACATGCATTTAATCTGCTGTCTTTAACCAGAAGTTTCTCATTTTTGTTTAATTTAGTTTGCCTTATTATTTTACCTGTATCTTTGAAATCCATTTTTGAAATACAGTTGGGCCTGAATAAATAAATTTCTATACAAGAGTTATTAATAGTACTCTGGTTACTTCTTTAGTGTGAGTTGATAAGTAATTTACGTTCTTTCTAAATTTTAATGTAAGTGGCTAAGGAAGATCATTTGGCAGAATCCTTAGGAAGATCTTCATGGAAAATTTAAACACTTTTCTAAATTGGCCTATATGGATACCTAAAATTTCCTCTGTTTTACTTTAATCCCATTCCCTCTTATCCAGTTTTCTATGGACTCAGGAAAAATAAAACTGGTAAAATTTATACAAACTCTACAAATATCAAAAGGGAATATAAAAGTCAGCCTAAAATGTCTAGACTAGTTTAGTTTAGTTCTTTATAGTACATCAGAGAAATAAAAACAAAAAAGAATTCTAGCGCACATCTTTACAGACATTATTAAGAGAAATAGAGAAACAAAACTGTAAGAGAGAGAATACTAATACAATAAATGATGTGGACAACTGTCATTCCCTGCCTCTACTGTGTAGCTGTAAGCACTGTGGGGGACAGGACCCGCTGGTGGGCTGGCTCTCACCAAGCTAACTCGATCATGGCGGTCCCATGGCTTGTCAGTAACGGAGGACCTAGTATGTGGGCTTCCTCTGGCCCCTGGATTTGGTTCAGGACTGGGCCTATGACCTATCTAGGGCAAATGAGATATGAGGGCTGGTTTGCTAGGATCTTCTAAGGAAACTTTTCATCTTAAGAGAGAATCACAGAAAGAGACAGCCTCTACTACCTTCCCTTTCAACTCCAACATGTATGGATGTGAGGCCAAGGAATTCTGTGGTCTTGTTACCCATCTGGGGATGAAGCCAGCCCATAAAGGAGAATAGCCGTGTGAGAATTACAAAGAAATGGAGCTACGGCTACTAAATTCAGCCTGTCTTAAAGTCCACCCCATCTGAGACCTGCATGTAAGTGAATATATCCATTTATTTTTTTAAACCAGTTTAAGATAGGATTTGTTACTTGCACATGAAAGCACTACTACAAATAACCACAGAGACGTATAGTTACTGATATATATAGTCAACTGAATGATCAGCTGTCTCAATAATGTCAAAAACAGGAAGATTATATATTGACTTTCATTAAATGACAAACACAATAAATATAAGGGTCTCTACACAACCTAAAAGACAATACTCTTAACAGCAAATGCAGAAACATCCTCTGCAAATGTGTTTCCTAATATGAATTTATTGGCCTTTTGGGAAGAACAGTTCTCCAATGTGAGACTGTTCCATGAATAGCATTTCTAAATCCAGCACTAAGTGACTGCCCCTATGCCCAGTTATCATGACAAAGAAAATCCTCCCTCATTCACTTGCCTTCAGGTAGTGGTACCAGCCCCAGATGAAAACACCAATGCAGAGAAACAGATGGATAGTATATCTTGTGATAATTTTTTCCTTCAGTATCATTTTAAAGTAAGAGTCTAAGCTTTTCATATTACAAATAAGGAAACTGAGGCCCAGAGCGGCCATACTCTATTCACATGGTTAAACAACGGTGTTTTCAAACTGCTGAGGGGGAATATTAACTGAATTTATTTTTCAGTAAGTTCACATGAAATGACATACCTGCAACATGACAGATATGCTATAAGATGCAATACACTGACATGGCAACATTTTATAGGATCTAATGATGAGACTGATAGAAAACGGTATATTTCTGTTTTTGACCATTAGGTTCTATTAAGCTAACTGTAATCAGGGGAAACAATATTATCAAGATATTTATCCTTCACCCTGCAAATGCTTCTTAGTAACAATACTTAATTTTTTTGGCAAAGAAACTGTGCTAGACGCACTGTGGTCCTTGTTCTCACAGAATGTAAATAAAAGGATAACCGGGGACTATATGATAGGTGACCAGGGCATAGTACAGATGATGAATGCTAAAAAGACTTCAGCTTTGCCACTCTCTGCTGGAATAAATGAAGAAGTCTCCCCTGTGAAGGTGGGGCTTGAGTCTCCTTGCCTGGCTACGCAGTGAGAGGGAGGAAAAGCCCCCAGAGCTGCGGGAAGAGGCTATGCAAGGCTGAGAACTGCACAGGGCTAGCAAGAGGGCCAGTGGAAAGGATACTGCAAGGGGCGGGTGTGCACTACTGAATGAGTAGTGCAAAAACTGAAGGCAGGCTGAGAAGCAGAACGCAGACCTAGGAACGTGGACCACACCTTTGCAGGCAATGGAGGAGAAGCTACTGATTGTGCCTGAGCAGTAGCAGAAAGACATAAAAAACATTTGTAGGGGATTAGAGGGTTGAGTGAATTAAAGAAACAAACACTTGTACTAATGGAGTATATACCTGAAATGGCTTATCTGATTCTCTAAAAGGGAAGACAGTCTTTCCTTTATCTCCTCAAACTTCTCTTTTTCTTCCATCGAAATAGTTCCAATTCCATCAGGCCTGGAAAAAAAGAGTCAGTAATTTATTGTGATAGAACATTTACCTCTTTTAAAAAGTATTTATTTATTTATTATTTATTTTGGCTGCACTGGGTCTTATTTGCGGCACATGGGATCTTTGTCGCGGTGTGCAGGATCTTTAGTTGAGGCTTGCATGCGGGATCTAGTTCCCCTACTGGGGATTGAACCCGGGTGCCCTGCACTGGGAGCGTGGAGTCTTACCCACTGGACCAACAGGGAAGTCCCTTGAACATTTACTTTTATATATTTTATATCTTTCTATTTCCCTGAAAAATCCAAATAATTAAGGAAAATGCATATTGGTTCACAGTACACATACTACTTGTGTCTACACTGGAAATTTACTGGAGATATTTATAGCCATTTGCTTCATATTTCGACCTGGAATGAATGGAACAGAATTATTCTCTTTTAGACAGCCTTCAAGGTAAAGGATTACAATAAATATTTTTCAGAGCTACAGAAAACAATGACTAGTCCTTGAGAATAGCAGTGAAAAGTGTTTTATAGTGATACCAAACATTTGACCAATTAAATATCCTGAATGGAATTATTATAAAAAATATACTGAATGTAAGCTAAAATGTCTTAACTCCTTCTCTTTCAAATAAAAATTAAGCTAATGTGAAACTGGAGATTTAATTTTAATTGTTGTAAGGAACAGACATTTTGGATTCATACAGTGGTTTACTGCTCTATTTTTTTGTTTAAATATAAATGAAACATGAATACTTGAATAAAAACATACAGAGAAGAAAGACCACCTATGTTTCAAGATTTTTGTGCTTAACCAAATATGCCTATGAAATAAAGTATCAACTTTATAAATAAAGTAGTACCTTTAAAAGTAGCAACAGGGACTTCCCTGGTGGTGCAGTGGTTAAGGATCCCTGGTCCCGGATGATCCCACATGCCACGGAGCAACTGAGCCCGTGCACCACAACTACTGAGCCTGTGCTCAAAAGCCCGCAAGCCGCAACTACTGAGCCCACGTGCTACAATTACTGAAGCCTGTGTGCCTAGAGCCTGTGCTCCACAACAAGAGAAGCCACCGCAACGAGAAGCCCGCACACCGCAACGAACCACAACTAGAGAAAGTCCGTGTGCAGTAACAAAGACCCAACGCAGCCAAAAAAAAAAAAAAAA